TAGTGAAACCCTGTTATTCCCGAGAGTTATTACCCTGACATCCTGGCCCGGACCGAGGCCAGCCGGCACCATATTTAGATTTGTTTAAATTTAGAAGCTCACAGTGGGTTACAAATAGATCACATCTGTGGACTCACTCTTCCTCTCATCCCCACTTCAAGGTTCAGTCACTCTGCCCCACCCCAGATATTAGCCAGGGATACTCTGGCACTGGTCACTTGGGAGCCTACCGGTCCCAAACAGAAGTCACCTCCCAGTGGGCTCTGGGGGATTCCAGCTGCGGGGGGAGCACAGCTGCTCAGCTCTCTGCATGCTGAGCCCCAGAGGTGGGAGCCAAAGATGCTCCCCAGGGCCAGGGAGCCTGCATGGGTCCACACCAGGTGAGGGTGCATGGGGTGAGCTTGCAACAGAGCCACTTACAGGGCTGTGTCCCTGCCTGGACTACACATGGGGTCAGAGAAGGCAAGGGCTGGGGCCAGAGAGGCTTCCGGGGCTAGAGACCAGGTGCTTCCAACCAAAACAGAGGCAGAGACTGCTCTGATCTGAGCAGAACCTCAACACCGAGAATCACCTGTATGGAGCTGGTCAGAGCTGGCATCTCACCTGGGGAGAGGATGTGACCCTACCCCCCTCCCTCCGCACAATCCTTACCTTCAGGAACATGCTGAATCCCGTCTTGAGGAGGTCGGTGAGGCCTGCAGACATGTGTTCAATGTCGCCAGGGTCCGGCCTCTCGGGACTGAATATGTCCTCCACAATTTGCCTCAGCAGTGGCTTATAGGACGCCTGTAGAGACAGAATGTTCTGCCTGAGGGTGGATGCCTGGGCCTGGACACCAGGCTCGTTCATGTGACACTGAGCAATGACTGTGCCATGTGTGCACATGTGCTTGTGTGTGTGGGGATGTGTGTGCACGTGCACATGCGCCGATGTGCATGTGGAGACGACTTAGCCCCCTGGTTTCTGATATGCTCTGCCCAGTGTGGCAGTCCTCTGCTGCGCACGCCTTCCCCCAGCACGTCTCACGCCTGTGATGCTCGCCCAGGATGACTCGTTTTCCATTTAGACCTGAGGCACAAGGTGCTGGCATTTGACAAGTCACGGTGGCCTCTGGCTTCCCCTGGCCGAGGGAACTCAGTGTGACTTGCAGGCTGTTTCTGTGCAACCAGAGCCCAGTCTCCCCCTGCGCCCAGCCTCCGAGTGTGACTTGGGGAAGAGCGGATAGGGGACAGGAGGAACCGATGAGGGCAGGAGGAAGCCAGCGGCCCTATGGAAGTTTTGGAGGACATGGATGATGAGCGTGTACTTCCGTGGGCCCATGGCCATGTTGGCCCTCCCCCCTGTGACCAGTGACCCCACACTGGGCTCTGTGAGAAGGCCCTGCCCACTGACTGCCACAACTGTGGCTCCAGCTCCATCCCGAGTTCCTGCTGCCAGATCCTCCTGCATCCTCCTCCGCATCCTCCTCCTTGTTGTCCTCCCCATCCTCTTTCCTGTCCTCTTCTCTATTCTCCACCCATGTCCTCCTCACCTGTCCTCCTCCCGCATCCTCCCATGTCCTACTCTCCATCCTCCTCCTGCGTCCTCCTTCTGCATCCTCCCGCATCCTCCTCCCTGTCCACCTCCCCATCCTCCTCCTCATCTTCTGCCCACACCCTCCTCTCTGCTCTTCCCTGCTCCCTACCCCCATCCTCCTCTCCATCCTCCTCCCGCATCCTCCTCCTTGTCCTCCTTCCCTGCTGGGCCGCCCTCCTCCCAGTCCTGATGCTGCCCTGCCGCCAGTCACATCGGCACTATGTCCAGAGCAAGAAGGATGTTTCCTGCCACATGCTCTCTGATCTGGGATGACCTTGGGAAAGCCGGCTCCACAGCCACTGCTGGGATGTGTCCCATCTGGAACTCAGTTTCCCTCTTTGGCCAAATATGTGATTTGCCTGTAGCAACTGCCATGGAGACTCAGTGCACTGACCTCATCCTGGGCTTTATCTTCTTTTCTTACAGTTGTTTCTTACTCTAATTTTTCCTTTATTCCAACTTTTTTTTTTTTGAGTTGCATTCTCACTCTGTCACCCAGGCTGGAGGGCAGTGGCACGCTCTCGGCCACCACAGCCTCAACCTGCTAGATCAGGCGATCCTTCTGCCTCAGGGTTCCAAGTAGCTGGAACTATAGAAATGCGCCACCTCGCCCAGCTAATTTTTTTTTTTTTTGATTTATTGTGGAGATGAGGTCTCACCAAGTTGCCCCAGCTGGTCTGGAACCCACTGGCTCAGGCAATCCTCTCGCCTTGACCTCCCAAAGTGCTGGGATTACAGGCTGAGCCACCGAGCCCAGCATATTTCAATTTCCTTACCTAAATTGTCTTAGATAAAAAGCAAAGTACAGACCATCAGAATAACAAGTAACCATCCACAGGAATACAGCTGGCACCTAGGGGATAAGGGATAGGAGGACCGGTATCTGCCCAGTGGGGGATTCTGGCCACTTTTGGTTCTTAGTCCCACAGACCACAGTGTAGGCAGAGGGCTCACGACTGTGCGGACACTGGGGCAGAGCAGCCAGCAGAAACACCTGGAGGATGGGGATTTCTTTAAAGCTATGGGTAAATCTTATTAGTAACAAGAGAAATTCAAGTGAAAGCTAGACCAAGATAGGTCTTTTAGATGTACCACACTAGCAAAAACCCTGAAGTTTAGAAGTGCACTCTTCTGATGAGGCCATAGGGTAGCAGGTCTTCTACATGGCTGGCAGTGGGTGAGTGGCCAAATCAGTGTAGACAGCGGTGTGGCAATGTATCTGACCTGCAACCTACTTCCAGCCAGTCGGGATGTGCTCATGTGTGCATGTGAGGCCCATTGAGGCTTCTTGCTGCCAGTAACGACAGAAGATCAGAAGTCGCTGAGCACCAGGGAGCAGAGTTGTTCAGTAAATGGGGACCCTTATGTGAGGGGGCTTTGAGGGCAAAAGGGCAGCTCTGTGCTTGTGTGGCAGAAACGCAGTGCAGAAGTGTGTGGGTGCAACAAGCACTGTGGGCACTGGGCGGGCATTTGCATGGACACGGCAGGGGCACAAGAGTTGGCATCTGCTGAAAAATGACCTCATGGGATTCACAGACCACCAGTAGCAGTGGTCATGGGGTGGGGGCCAAAAGACAAAGGTGATAGGCACCTGCACTACTCAGCAGGTCCAAGAACTTCATGGCATTGCACAGCTGTGAACACCAGGGCACACAGCACGTGGCCTCTCCAGGTGCTAAACATGGATGCCAAAACTGGCTGAAGTGCCCAGCACGTTGATGGGGGCAACCTCTAGGAAGTAGGAGACCGGATTTTTTTTCCCCAAATTTTCCAAAATCAACTGGTCTCCTTCTGGAATCACAGAATAACACAATATACATGGGTGTACATGTTAAAAGGCCATGGAGTGACTTCTACGCTCTTAGATGTCTTTTCTGGTGGCTGTCCCAGAGCCCTCTGTGATCCTAGCCTGCCTGAAGCTCACTCTCTGAAGCTATGCCTTCATCTTTTCAGAGCTTCTCCCCACGTTGTGGTCCTTTGGCCAACAACTTGCCATCCTACCAGCATCCTCATCGATATGCACCGACTTCCTGAGTGAGGGGCTCCTGTGTTCAGCCAGGCTCTTGTCACCTGGCTAAAGGACTATGTTCTCCCACTGTCTTCCCAGCTAGACATAGCTGTGGAGTGAAGGTCAATGGGATGCAGGTACAAGGGTGCTCTGGGACTTTCAGACTCTTGTTCTTAAAGTGAAAGGCTGTGCTTTGTTCCCCTTTTCCTGTTCTGCTTCTTGGGATGTGTGTGTGATGCCTGGAGCTCCAGCAGTAGTGCTGGAAGATGTGGCCATTCCTCAGGGTGGACAGAGAGCTGGGAAAGCGCCGCCAAGCCCATCACATGGACAGGCTAACTCAGGGCCAACTCAACGCACCATGAAACCCTGTGAGCCTAAATCGTGGGCTCTCAGCCCTCCATCACCCACAGCTGAATGAGATTTTGACACAAGCAGAGAACGTGATGGTATGGGAGGCAATTCTTCCTCCCAGGCTCTCATGGCTCCTGATCAGCCCTACACCACAAACTGGCCATGTAAAGTCACCAGGCATAATTACAGAGATGCACATGGGCTGCTGTACGTAGGGGAGGAGAAGCTATCTGTCACTCCATTATGAAGACAAGGGGGCTTCTCTCCATCGATGCAGCTTCCATGGAAGAAAGTGGATGATTCCAGAGAGTCGGAGCAGTGAATCCGCGTAATTCCGCCTCCTTATCTGTGCGTGGCACAGTGCACAGGGCGACAGGATTGTTCCCAGGGCTCCAGTGTAGACAGAGACTGAGACAAGGGGGACTGGGAAGTCGGACACTAGCTCTCTCTGTCACCTGGTCCCACTTTCAGCTGAGCTTTGGGGAATGCAGTGCGTAGGACAGGCTCGCAGAGCCCAGTCCCTGAGGGGTGGCAGAGACTTGGAAGCGCTGTTCCCTGACACTGTTACTTCCGGGACTTTGTGACTGCTGGGGCGCTTCTGGGGAGGCTGGGATGCTTTTTAATGTTTTTTTTTTTTTTTTTTAAGGCGCATAGCTGAACATTTACTTAGAATGAGAAAAGAAATCACCATTTAAAATACAGAAGAGTAACAGATGGCAAGTGCATCACACCAACCGGAAAAGTAACTGGTGTTTTCCTGAGTCACTGCCTGATGTCCCTCTGTGACACACGCAGCGCACATTTGTTGGTGCGTCCTCACTGACGACTTTCCCACAGTGACCACCTGAAATTCCATTTTCTATGCATGTATGATAGCTGTGCAGTCATGGTCTCTTCATCCGCCCCGTCTTTGACCTCAGCTCTGGGATGGGGGCTGAGGCTCCACCACCGGTTCAGCATCGCCGGTGGGGTGGTTAGACTCTGCCAGGAGAGGGTGCCGTCTCCCGGTGTATTCGTGGTTCCTGCCACCATGACCAGCCATGGTTCTAACTACAGGATTCAACAAATGGCCTTTCTTGTTTAAGCCATTGAGAGCATGTTCTTTTTCTATGTTTACTTGTGACTCAAAGCGTAGAAAATTATGTAAGTATTATTAACTCAAAGAGAAGCTGATATTGTATGGAAAAAAACTCTCTATTAAGAGAACTCAGTACATGAATCACAGTAGCACGGGGAGGGGTGGACGGTCAAGGGACACTACGGGGGGGGCATGGCATCACAAAGGGCATCTGGTCCTAAACCAGGGGGAGTGAGGACCAGTGGAGGCCAAACTCCACCTGCATGCAGCCGCTTATGCGGTTGACCCTGACTTGGACCCCACATCTCTATCATAAAATAAAAATTTTTTAAATCTGAGGGAAAAAAGAGAACTTAATACAAGCCACCGAAGTGACACCGTGCATTCAGAGAGCACATTTGGGGAACTCTCAGGAACCAACAGCAAGCAGCATATGTCTTCTGCCTTCTGGACGGTTTCCAGTTAGGGTTTAATGATGAGAGCCATCAGTCCCTCCCCTCACCCCTTAGTTTGGACCATCTCATGCCTGCAAGCATGCTGCTGAAGTCTGGCTGGCATGAGCTCTGGGCAGTGGCTTCTTACGGAACTCTCTGACTGTCATGGAGCTGGCCCACTTCCCGGTGCAGGACCGTGTTGATGGGTAAAGGGGGACAGTGGCTGCTCCAGTACCCACGAAAGATGTTCCCATATACTGGAAGGACTGGAGAGAAAGGGGCCACATTGGCTGCCTCAGCATTCAGAGGGTCACCGTCATCATTTAATTTTCCCACTCACTCTCTGCTGGTTCATCTTTGTGAGGGGCTGGAGGCGAATGAGAGACTTGGAAACTCTGTTCTTTCCTTTTTGCTGGTTATGTATTTCCTGCTTGTGTCACATGGGGGTGGTGGTGGGAGAAGTCTGTCCCCCACCATTTGGACACCCAAGCTCCTTCATGCTCAGGGCCTGGAGCCTGGCGCTGGAGGCTTGGAGGGGTGGAGAGGGAGAGGGGGTGGGTTTCCAGAGATCCTATGGGCTGCCTGAAAGTGACACATGTATTGCTCCCACCACCGTTCATTGGCCAGAATCAGCCACAAACCCATGTTCACCTGCAAGGGAACCTGGGACACTTGGTCTGCCTGGGTTCCTGGAGGAAGCAGAAGTGGAATTAGGGGAACACATTGCATGGTCTGTGCCAGACATAAGGTTAGGTGTGGACAGAAACATTCATGTCATTATTCCTTAACTGCTGGCAAGCTGCATGTGTGGGCAACGGGTTATATAGAGTTCCTTTCCCTCCTGTATAAGAATGTGACCCTTGATTACTTTTCTAGCTCGGTTTCCCTGGAAACCTGATAAAGGAAGAATGTCAAACTACGCAGCCAGGCAGGGTTGCTGAGGACAAGAACAACCCCGGGCTGGGGGACAGCAGGATGGGGAGAGCTATTCAAATCTGATGGGAGCCAGAGCTCTGGGCTTCCCTAGACGACCCCCGAATGACAGCTGGACGCGGCCCTTGGACGGAGGCTGGAAGCTATGCCATGGAGTTGTTCCAGAGAGACCAGTTCTCACAGGGCATGAGGGGCTTCAGCCAGGGGCCTGGGTGCCTGCCCCCATGAATCCAGCTCTCTCACTCCTGGGCTGTCACCTTGAAGCCAGCCAAGCTCAGGCTTTGATGTGCCATGGAGGGTTTGCTTTTATTTTTTGCTAGACTAGACTGAGCTTTTCTCCTTTTATCTTAAAGGAAATGACAAGTTTGCAGATTGCAAATGGTTCACTGGGGCATCTTGTCACCCACCCAGCTGCCTATCCACCCAGAAGCAGATCCTTTTTCAAAGACTTGAGGGTGAGCCCTTCAGCTTCAGCACAGGAATCAAAGCCTAGGGGTGTGAACGGACTGCTCGAGTTCACGGCGGAGGAGAGTTTCTAAGGTCTCTAAGGGTCTTGGTGGGTGACCTCAGCTGACCACCAGCACCATTCATCCACACTTCTAGAAACTCCAGGAGAGCCACCATGTAGTGGGAGGGAAGCTTGGGTCGGCAGCAAAGGTCTGGTAACTGTCCCCAGGCATCTGTGTGCCTGTGGCATGTCCCCCACCCCTCCTGGATCCCGGGACAGTAACCCCTCCAGGCTTAGCTTCAAATGCAGACACGCTCCCCAGTCACCCAGCATACAACCACTGCTTCCGGAGGAAGAGATGCGAGGCTGCAGTGGGTGATGCATGCTCCTGTCTAGCACTCCCAGAGTCAGCGCCCTGCAGCTGGGTGTCTGTCTCAGTTCTCACCAACAGCACACTCAGCTCCCACGGCCTTTTCAGAGTAGACTTTCCTGAAGATTCCGTGGGAAGACAGAGAAGGTTCCCCCCAGCAAACCTGGTGGCTTTCCATCAGAAATGCTGTTCTTTTCCAAACACCCACCTCTGGCCTCCAAGAAACCTAGTTCTGACTCGTTTACAGACTCCCCACCCTCCAGGCCCAGCCTCCCATCCCACCTTGCCCTCCCCTTTGGGTCTTCCTGGATACTCCTCCCTGTTCCAGCAGAGCCTCCCCCTCACCCTGGAGTCTCCCTCCAATCAGCGTGTCCTCCGCAGGTCCCTACCCTCCTCTGAAAGCAGCAGGGAGTTTTAAATAACCTTTTCCCTGCCCTCGCACTACCGGGTTCATTATCCAAAGTGTGTGAACGTTTAGAGACTGCTTACATCCAGAAGGTTGGGAGTCCCAGAGGCTGGCCTCACATGCGGGGCCTGGAGAGACTGAGTCACAAGGGAGAGTCAGGCTTGCAGGGGTTGCTGGAATAGCTGTGACTGATCCAGCTGTGAGGCAGCAGTGATTCCCAGCCTGCTGACAGAGCCCGGAGGGCACATGGGTGGGGAGGGAAACCTGAATCCCAGGGGCTGGAGTCAGAGTAAGTCCTTCACCTTGGGGGGTGAGGTGGAAGCTCCTCCTGCTGCTATGTCTGAGTCCTGCAAGCATCAGGCGAGGGCCCCTTCACATGCATATACTCACCTGGTGGGCTTGGCTCCCAGGTATGTACACAGACTTGAATTGCCTCAGGAGATCCCGGGCTCCCGCAACATCTCTCAGCGAAGTGAAGAGTTCATCCGTGGCGGTTTGGGATCTGGGAAATGTCAGGCGAGCCGAAGAGTTACAGCCTGAAAACCCAGACACATTTTCTCAGTGAGTATATGTTTACGTTTCCGTCCCGACTGCTGGAACTGGGGGAAGGGCAGCTGGGACTGTTTGCACCCTGCGTCTCCCACTGCCCACCTGCAGGGTGCCCAGTTACCAAGAGCGTGGTGCACACGGGCGCAGGGTCTCTGGCAGAAGTGACCCCAACACTACCTGATGGAGCCCACGGCAGGCCCAGGCAGCGGCAGCTTCAGGGAGAAGCACCCCGGAATACAACTCTCTGTCTCCCTACATGTTCCAAGCTGTAGGGATCAGACTCCCTGCCTGAATCCCCCGGGCCCCACCAAGCAGAACTGCAAGAGTGAGGGAATTGTGGCATGTCAATGGCAGGACTTGTAGGATAGGCCCATGGGACACGTGTTACAGAAGAGTTGTCCAGGCCAACACTTGGGGCCTAGCAGGAGACGGCTCTCATGATCATTCAGTTTCTTCTGGAAATTTACAATAGAGGGACTGATAGTGTTTTTTTGTTGTTTTTTTTTTTGAGTTGGAGTCTCACTCTGTCGCCCAGACTGGAGTGCAGTGGTGGCTCCCGGCCACCGCAGCCTCGACCTGCTGGGCTCCGGCGATCCTTCCGCCTCAGCCTTCCAAGTAGCCGGAATTACAGGCATGCGCTACCACGCCCGGCTGATTTTTTTTTTTTGATTTATTGTAGAGATGAGGTCTTGCTGCCCAGGCGGGTCTCGAACCCGCGGGCTCAGGCAATCCACTCACCTCAGACTCCCAAAGGCTGGGATTACAGGCTGAGCCACCGAGCCCGGCGATAGTGTTTTGTTAAAGGCTCATTTAGAAGAGAAGAGACATGACCATGGACATGTAGGAAAGTGAGAGAAGAGAGATTAAAAATGTATCTACTTGGCTCTCACACATCGGACATATTGACTCTCTCATCTCCACAACCTCCTTACAGGGGGAGCTGTTATTTTCTCCATTTTACTTATTTATTTATTTATTTTAGTGAGAAAGCAGGATTTATTGAGAGGACAGAAAAGCTCCCACAGTGGGAGGGGACCCAAAGGGGTTACCCTATTTTCTCCATTTTAAGGTCCAGGTTATGTCCTGCATGCCTATGAACAGATGCTACTGAGATCCTGCTCTGTCCACCTACCACACATGGCATCTCACTTGTGGGTCTGGGACAACTGTGTGCTCTGAGTGCTCCCACCCCAAGAGCTTGTGTGTCTGTCTGCCCATCTCTCTCTCTCATTGCCTCTCTGTCTTTCTCATTGCCTCTCTCTCTCGATACCTCTCTCTGTCTCTGTCTCGTTTCCTCTCTCTGTCTTTCATTGCCTGTCTCACACACATGTATACACATGAGAAAAACCACTTGTACACATCTGCACATGAGAAAACCCTCTCACACGGGTCCTCTTTCCCTACCTGTATAAATACGTGTATGTACACACATGTTGCCTTGTTTTAAATTAAAACATAGGTGTGCCCTTGGTTGCTGGTTCTCCAAGGAGCTAGGCCTTGTCTTTGATTAGATCCTTTTTAAAAGAAGTTTTTTACATGCAGGATTCCCAATACGGCACATTGCCCTTGTCAAGTGAGCCAGGTATGGAAGGTTCATGCAGCTCAAGCTGAGGGCAGGATTCTTCTAGATTTTGAGGTTTTTCCTTCAACCTTTTACATTTGTCTTGCTCACACCGAGTTAAAAAATGTTTGTAAAATGATTCATCCTCATACCCAGTGTGGTTTTCACAGGAACAGCTTTCTTTTTGAGTTTCTATTTTGTCAGTGTGTGAAGGTGTTCAAGTTTACGACTTCACAGCGGGCAACTTCACAGCTGACGTGGCCAGGCTTGAGGCCAAGCAGAGCTGAGCTGGCCAGCACAGATCCCTGGGGTAGCCACGGGCAGCCATGGGCCTGTGTCGTGGAGCTATGCAGGCCAGGCTTCAGTACCAGCTCTGCCCTAAGGGCTGCGGAATGTCAGTGACTCTGGGAACGGGTTGTGGAGGCTGCTGAGAGCACATGGCTTCATGTGTGTCACATACATGCTTACACCTGTCATATTTACTGTGTGTACTCTATGTAACTGAAAGTGTGTTGACACGCACATTTCTAAAGTTCTGCATTTACACACCCAGGTGGCTATGCCTGCCATCAATTTCGGTTTCTAACCCTGTTTGACTTTGAGTTCATCCAACATAAGATCACGACTTGGGTTGTAGACTTGGAGTCCCCCCCATGGGGTCCTTGAGCTGCGCCTGGGGCAGATCCTCAGCAGGTGAGGGTCATGCTGGTGAGCAGGGTGGCTGCAAGGAACCCAGGATATGCAGGCTGCGGGGCTGGCTGCTCCCTGGCATCCCTCCACGTGCCTCCCAGCCCATCTGACCCCACAGCTATGGCTCCCAAATCCCGCTGGGTCCTGGAGTCCCAGCCTGGGGCCTGTGGTCACTGCTGAGATGGCAGGGGGGAAGGGTAAGGAAGGGACCAACTTTGGCAGCACTGCATGCCCAGAACAGTGCCTGGCCCAAGGAGACCCTGCAACATGCGGCCTAAGTGACAGGCTGGGGGAGAGGAGAGGCTGCAGGAGAAGTGGCAAGCCCGACCTTGTGGTGAATGCATGCTCTGCGGGACATTTCAAACAAAGGGCTCCTGGTGGGTCCGAGCATGGCAGTCCCAGGGCATGAGGATCAGTGCCTGGAAAGGTCACACAACCGCCTTCATGGCCGGCAAGTCTGTCTAATGCACAGAGATAAACCATGCATGCTCCAGGCATACACTCACATGTGACAACACCGCTTTAAAGAAAGACACAGATCTCAGGGCAGGGTGACTCCGGGCTAGGGGGTGGGGTGGACAGCAGTGTCAGGACAGGTGGGGTTCATGGGGCTCATTACCTAAGTGCTTCCTAACACACATCTCTCACCATCTTCATAGGTACCAGCCACCACCCTATACACAGAACAAAACCCAAACCAGTTCCCCTACTTTCTGAGGCCTCCAGCAAATCCAGCTTTTAAAGCAGCTGATTGTCCAGCTGAGAGCTGCTGTGAGCAGGCAGGCCTGGGACGTGCAGGGGACACGGAGGACTCATGCCCCCTGAGAGAACGGGACAGAGCTGTGAGGGGTGTCAGGATCAGCCTGGTTGTGTGGGGCTCTCGGGTGGGGGAGGAGTGTAGCTTTGGAATGAGCACACTTCCATTGATGGTAACGGCTTCACAGACTCAGGGGTTCAGTGCACTTGTGTTTCATGGACACACTGTGCAGACGTGAAGTCTGGGCTTCCGGTGTGGCCACCATCTGACAATGGACACTGTGCCCACGGGTGGTCTCTTCCCCACTCTCGGGGTCTCCAGTGTCTCTGTTTGTCCATGAGAACCTCTAGTGACCCATCACTCAACAGCAGACACTGCACCCATGGGCGGTCTCTCCCCTTCACTTTCTCTGCCCCAGAGAATCCTCCCAGGAAGGCTTGTCTCCTGCTGGAGCTCCCACTTGCCCTCCAGGCAGCAGGGTGTACATGCCGCTTCCTGCAGGCAGCCTTGGTCTCTAGTGACAGATGTAAGGAGGACATTCTGCCTGATGCAGCTGCAGCAGAAGCCCAGACTCCCCAGACCACCAAGAAGGCTTCCTGGAGGTGGCCTAGAAGGAAACTGGGAAGGACCACAGCAAGGCCATGCCCTCCTACTCCTGCCTGAGTCCTAACCTTACCCAGCCTGGCTCTTGATTAAAAAAACAGCACCAAAGGCCCACTGTGCGGGAGGACTTTTAAAGAGATGTGATTGTACTTCTAGACATGCCACCGGGACTGGGTGCAGCGTGTGGGAACAGCACTATGTCCCCTCTGGCTGTGGCACGCCACTGGCTATGAGGAACCCCCCTCCCAGTTTGGTTTGTCTGCTGTGACACAGCCCTGCCATCATGAAGTGTCCATTTGCAGAAGAGGATGGACAGAAGGCCACACTGTGTGCATTTCAGGGCCTTTGAATGACCACTGCCCATCTCGTCCCGTTCCTTTAGGAGAGTTCTTAGAGACCTTTCTCCATCACTGTGTTCCTCGAGTCTTGGTCCCCCTAAGCCCATCATCGTGTGAGTCTGTAAGTGCCCGAAGGGTCATGGAGGTGTCTATTCTTTCGTTTTCTTGGGGCAGGCAAGGTAGTTAATAAGATGAGAGCATTTTCTGGTCTATGAGAAAAAAGGAATAGAAGGGAGGCATTTTGGCCTGAAGTTCTTTCCGTCCCTTTTGTCTCTTAAGAGAATAGCAGTTGAGTTTCTTCTGTTCCAGTATCTGCAGATTGGGTGGCCCCTGGCTCGCCCCCACGCACACACTCCCAGTGCCATCTGAGGCCGTGCACCCACTGTGGTGAGCCTGCATCAACCCAGCCCGTGTCACCAGGCCTGACAGCAGGCTCGCATGAATGAGGCCTCATCTCTCATGCCCCTGTTTTCTTCTGGAGGCGGCATGACTTGGTGTGCAGGTTCACCCAGAGAGGGATAGCTGTCCAGCAAGGGCGACCGTGGCCATGGGAGGTGGGGGGCAGGAAGACAGCCTTGTCCTTGTCTCATTCTGGGTGAGGTGAGCCCTAAATGAGCCCCCAGGTCACATGCCTTACAGACAGACGCCCCTGCCTGCAGCCAGGCCCACGGTGCACTCAAGCTGCATGACAGCAGGGCTAGGGTCTGGAAGGGGACAGCAAGCAGCTCTCCCGCCTCCTGGATGTGAGGGCCAGCCAGGAATCCTGGTGGACAGCCCATCCAGTCTTCCATGTGTCTTCATGGCAGCTCAGCCCACGTGTCATGGAGGGTGGGCTGTGATGGGGCCTGGACCTGGTGTGGGTCTCTCCCCTGCAGGACAGGATGGGAGGGTTGGGAACTGGTGACCACGGTGGGCCCTGAGACCGAAGGTGGAGGACACATGGGACAGAACAAGGGCTGCGTGAGCGTAGAAGTAAAACCCTCAAAGCGGCCTAGAGTTCCTTGTGGGCCCTGCTCTGGTTGAAATGTGCCCCCAATT